TGTGTGCTCCAGGGCTGGCCCTCATGGGCCCAGGCCCGAGGTTTATTCATATGGAAAAGCTGGCAAGGAGGAAATTCAAAGGAGAAACAGAAACAGAAACAATGCAGGCCAACAGTGTGCACAGACCAGCACCTGACAGGTAGACAAACACAGCAGAGCTCTTAGCTGTACAGGTCTTGGGGGACAAGAAACCAGCTCTGGACACTTTATCACCTACTCCTTCAAAAAAAAAACTTGTTGTGCCTTTAAAATCTTTCTCATTTTCTGATATTAGACAAACAACAGAGCATCTGCTTTGGCTACTGAACATATGAACTACTTGGTTACTTGGGCCTTATAAAATTCTTACTGGAACTTTTTTGTTGTTAATAAACCTTTAAGGATAGGCATCTCAATATTTCTACTGCAGAGAATGATTTGTAAGTACGAGCCTAAACTATTTTAATATTCTCTACCATTATTCTAACATAAACAACAGCTTTCAGCTTTTTTTAATCAAGAACAGCACAACTTAATTGGACTACAAAGTAAACACATCAATGCAATAATTATTTGTAGCTCCCAAGCACAAGAGAAAGACTTCAATCTTTGAAACGTCTGCTCTGTCAAGAGTTTGAAAACATAGCCTTTCCTCCTCAGACGCCTGGTATGTCTGAACAGTAGCTGGCAGTGTTTTTGCTCCACTGTGTTTTTGCAAAAGAACAAATATCCTTGGATAAAGGTAGGGAAATAAAATGTCTGCCTAATGCAGCAGCTTGCATATTGAGAGAGGCCTTAAAGGTGTCGATGTAGAGTCCAAAATTGCAGGTACTGTATATTCATTGATTATCCTGTACAGTCTCTTATCAGGAAAACATCATCTGGGAGAATCGGAGGAGACCGCTTTACAGATTGTTCTCCTTTAATAACACAACAGAACTACTTGTAGAGAGCAAACTTCCAAACAGACTAGGGGACCTTGGCAACAGCCATCTGAAAAGAATTTTTAAAAACAGGCAAAGAAAATTGAATGAAATGCTTCTTTGGAGAAGCTGATTGATTTTTGAAGGTGTAGAAATATAACATAAAGTCTAAACATGGGAATATGTGTGTATGAGAGTGTAACTTTCTCTGACCCTCTCTAGTTCTTGTTTTGTTCTTTTGGACCTCGCTCTGCTGCTTTGGCAATAAGGGATTCTTTCAGCTTGTCCCCTCTGTGATTCACAATCTTCTGCACTGTGTCACAGTGGCAGCGGTACAGTGCCAAAGCCCCTTCAGTATAATTGCCATGCCACTCTGTTGCAGCCCCATTCTGAAGCCTCAAACGAGCTGTGTCTGTCAGAGGCGAGAGATTTAAACCATCCCAAGCCGGGAGCAACGGCTGCTCTGCATCCATACGACCCTTCAAAAGGGCAAAGAATTTGCTCTAGTGTTTGTTTTCATTAAGCCCTATTCATTGAGAGAAAGCCTGTTGAGGGCTTGTTATATGATGTCTGAGCAGGCTGCTAATGCACCATGTCAAGCGATTGGAGTGAACCTGCTGTTGGGTTAACAAGAGACGATTAAGCCCTGCTTGGCAGAAATGGGAGGGACTTTTCTCCCTGAAGGTGAACAGCCAGTGAATTCTCCCAGAGCAGCATTGTGATTTTCAGCACTTTGACACTGATTGATCTGCCTTCCTCATTATGTGCCAAAGAGTTTGGCTGCTCTTCATCTTCCTCACTCATGGAAGTTCTTGAGGAGGAGCACTTAGCCTCCGGCAAAGTCATTTGTTATAAAACCCCGCACCTGACACGGTCTCCAGCTGGCGCTGGCTCACACAGAGGACAGGGCTCCGGTCCTGTGGGAATCGGGCCGCTCTGGGAGATACTGTACCTGCAACATGGGTCAGACCCAGTTCAGCCCTGCTGCAGCGTGGCGGGCTGACTGTGCAGTTCCTAACTCTGTCCTTGCTGTAGGTATGGCCAGCTACAACAGACTCTGGCACGTCGAGGTGCTTCAGATATTTAATTTGTACTGTGAACTGCTATTTCTGTGTCATGGGTAGGCAAGCCAACATTACTGGCAGTGTATGCATGTCTCTGAACTGTATTTTCTTTTCTTCAAAACAAAACAAAACCCCATGAAATTCCAGAGGGCGAGACTGAAACGGTGGCAGAATTTGTAACTGTTCCAGCTCGGAGCATTCCCTGAGGCTTTTGTGCACCTAAACGATTTCAAGCACGTTTTTTTTTTGTGAATAGTGCCTGTGAGTTGAAAATATGAGCAAATGAAACCCCAGATATTTATAGCCTGTTGACTTACTGTGACTGACTTAAAAAAAAAAAAACTTCACTGCAAAATACCTTTAGCGCAGACAGGGCAGCACGGATACGCCAAAAAGCTGTGGCAAAACCCTTTAGGAATTTGTACAAAATCACCCTCTAAGCTCTGTAAAGATTAATAATATAAATAAAAACAACTGTCACTATTCGAACCTTAGCAAAGGAAAGTGAGGCCAACCCATTACTCGTTCTGGGTTGACCTCTACAGCCTATGTCGCAGGCCATGTCAATAGCTGACTATGACCAGGATCTCTCAAATGCCAGGGGCACAGCTGAGTGCCTGGGGCCACGTCTGGAATTAGTAGGATCCTCTCAGCACCCACTAGCCCCTGCTCTCTGGTGGACACTAGTGGGCTGGCTTCTGCACTTGGAGCTGTCTTTCCCATGATGCACTGCAGTGCTTCCCTCGTGTTGCAGGACACATGGCCCTGCAGGTGGGTCTCGATCTCTTCTGAGCAGGAGAAAGAGCCACTTTCTTGTGGGTGTGTCCCATATTTCAAGATAGTTGGCAGTCCCAGAATTTAACGCTGTCCTTGGTGGGTAGGACAAAATTCAGTAGCAGAACTGGGAACTATGTGTGGGCAGCCTGGGTGTCTAACTGCGTGGCCTTTTAAGAATGTTCAAATTGTTTTGGGTGTTTCTGTTTTAAAACAGAATGAAAATGTTCTGCGAGGGCTTTGTCCGGTTGTTCTGAAGTGTTGGAATGAAATAGGTTAGGCCTTTGGTAGTGAGCTCCAGGTCCTGTCGCTAGATTTCCTCAATAATAGCCAAAACATTATTAGCTTCCAGTTCCACCCTTCAGACACCATATTATGAGTCATTAAACTTTGGAGAGTTTTGTCTGTAGGCCCGAAGGAAGCTGTTGGCAGCCCAGATTGAATCCTGCGTCTTTGAGCTGATTTGTCAGTTGTCTCTAGAGCTTCTTCTTATGCACTAAGCACAGGCAGACATTGTCGTGTGGTAGCTCAGTCTTCAAGGTGTCCATGTGGGAAGAAGACAATTGTATGAAATGTGTTAAAGGGTAAATAAAATGAGAAACAAAAATCAGACACAAACTATTCCAAACTACGCCAGCCCTGGGCCAGGAACAAGACGGAGCAAACACAGAGTCTCCCCAGTCACCAGGCAACAATATTACATCATTCATCATTGTTAAACTGTAGAGCTACAAATATTTATATAAATATTTGCATCCTAATGAGTACATAAGGCAAGTGAATCAATCAAATAAGGTGGTCTAATAAACAGATCTTGAGTCAGTGAAAACTGGTGGTTCTAATTTAAAATTTGCATTACAACTGGAGGACAGAAGGGGAAACTATGTGGATGTGCATTTCCAAGCACAAGAGGCCCTTCTTTAGCCAACCGAGGACGCAGCAGCACAGTCTCTGACAGGTTAAAAAGGGCTCAGCTCCATGAAAGAGGGTTACGCATGAAATGCAGCAACAGAGACATTATTGCATAACACTATTAATCGCCTTATTGTACACCTTTGCCACAGGGACTGAGGGCACACGGCTTTCACATCGCAGGAAAACCTGCACAGCGGATTGGAAATGTCTGGCAAAAGAAAGTCTGCAGTGTGGCTATAGAACAAATACACTGAGCTTAAAGGTTCACTGACATCTGTGCTGAACTTTCTTTCAGTGCCTCTCTCATAGGGTTTGTGCTAATATCTGCAGGAACGCCTACCTCTGAGATCAGTTCCCCCAGTCTAAACCCCCAGCTACTACCCATAATACAGATCTTAAGCCCCTCCAAGTAATCTCTTGAACTAACCCAATAACAGTAATCCTTCACTGTAATTCATAAACCCTTTTTTAATCCCTAAAGCTAACCCTTGACACTGCAGCCCCAAAACCTACAAATATCCGCTAATGTTAACACCCAGCCTTTAAAATAATCCGTTAATTTAAAACTAAACCCTCACACTTAAAGCAACATGAGACTTCCAGCTCTGGCCGGCTGTTCTCCACCACAGAAGGAGCTCTGCTGCCTTTCCCAGCAGCGCTTATCTCCCTGTCTGTCTGTCTGGTAATGTTGCAGAAATACATTCTGATTTGCATGGGGAATAACCACGCTCATCTGTGGTTTTCAGTCTTTGCAATTTTACACTCCCTTTCAGATCAAATTATTTTTGCTAGTGCACAATTGAACTGTAAAACATTCCTTTAAAACAAGAAAATGTTTCATTTTGCGTTCTTGCAATATTTATTCTCATTCTCTTTTATACATCTTGGCAGTTGGACACAGTGTAAAATACATGTTATCTCATCCCGCTGTGTGTTTTTATACTGTGTAATTGCTGCCTTTCTTGCGCAGCCTTCTTTGTTGAATAAAAAAAGACAAACCTCTGACTCCTCCAGCACTCTGAGTAAGTATAGAGAAAGATGAAACAGAGTAAAGTAAACAGCTTTTTGTGAACGGTGGAGTTTGTGTGAAGGACTAGTGCCTCGGTGGAGTGCAGGCTCAGTTTGCCTCTGCCTGTTTCCTTAGTGTGTTCCTGTCCCCTGTGGACAGTGGAAAGTGGTCCATAAAGCTGGATCCCAATCCCACTGCTGTGAAGAATTAAGGGGCAGGAGGACTGAGCTCCTTCTATAGGAATGTACTTGCAGGGTCCTGGGGGTCCGCCATGCAGGGAAGCAGAAAGACAAGGCAACGCTGTGGTCTCGGTAGCTCATGGTCTTCCCTCTGCAGGGATCCGGGTTCCACGCGTCACGGAGGCAGAAATACGGCAACGTCTTCAAGACGCACCTGCTGGGGCGGCCTCTGATCCGTGTGACGGGTGCGGAGAACGTGAGGAAGGTGCTGATGGGGGAGCACAGCCTGGTCAGCGTGGAGTGGCCCCAGAGCACCAGCACCCTCCTGGGGCCCAACAGCTTGGCCAACTCCATCGGGGAGATCCACCGCAAGAGGAGGAAGGTAGGAGGCTTGAGTCGCGCTGCCGTGCTCGACCGCGCGTGCACTTGCGTTTGTGCACGTTGTAACAACACAGCATGGTGGAAACGCCACAGCCCCGGGCTGATCAGACAGGATCTGCTCTGTAGAGCTGACATCCTGAAATCTGTTGGACCTACTCTGTCAAGCTGTTCAGTTTCTGTTGTGTATTTGGGATCCAGAGCTTCTTGAAATCACATAAGACCTGTCACATTTTCTAAAAAGAGAACTGCTCCTGGCTAGGTTCCGTGGTGTCTCTTAATTGGCGCTGTGCGTGTGTCCTGCTCTGGACTGGCGTCTGATGAATGGTGTTCCAGCACAGCCCTGTGCATCTGGGATAGACTTTGGGCTTCTGCCATCCTCACCTGGGCTCAGTAGCGTTCCGATAATGGACCATGATTTAAAACCGTGCTTTCCAAGGTGCTGATTCTGGAAAAAGGTCATGAACGTTCAGGGTGCAGTTGATTTAATATAAATTGTGAATGCATAAATCTTCTAGCAGTCAGGTTTCTAACTGCAGGCTGGTCACTTCTCAGAGTCTAAAGCAATGAAGGGGTCTGTGAAACATTTCTTGAATGGTTCATTGTTTGAAGCCCATCACTGATCCCAAAGGAAGCAACAACAACATACCTAAAAACAGTTAATAGGACTGATATAGATGTGGGGTTTTATTCATCTATATCCTGAATTATCCAAGAGCATGCGAGACCTCAAGGATCTTGAGCTTCAGCTTCCCACTCAATACACTGCATCCCTTTAGTGGGTATTTTTGCCACAGAGCTACAGTGCGGAAGCTACTAGCTGGTCTGAATGCTTTTCTGACAAAGTGTTCTGAAGAGTTTTACTGGGATGTGAAGAGTTGTGAGTTGTGTAAAAGAACTGTCCCTGAGCCCATGTGCTTCTGGAAATGAAAGTGAAGTCGCTCTGTCACAGAGATGAATCAGTAGGTGGTGACGTTTTAGGGTGGCAGTGTTTCTTCATGTGTTTATTTAGTGAAGATGTTCGTTACGCTGCTCAAGGAGGGGCGTAGAGCATGTAGGCAGAGTGCATCCTGGGAATGTGTGTGCTGGTAAATCCCAGCGCGTCATGACATGAGGAAGGGCCTGCTAATAGGGCGGAGCCCGCGGAGGGGGACGAGTGAAAGTGGATCGTGGGTAGAGCCACACAATGCAGGAGTCAGGCAGAGCAGTGAAAGGTAAGACTCATTTTCTTCCCCTTGCTTTTGTGTGAAAGCCTGCTTATCACCCCTTCAGCTTGGGCTCTGTGAATGAGGAGCGCCTCTCCAGAAGAGCAGACGCAGCTATCGCAGGGGCATCTCTGCCCGCTCCCTTTGTGCAACCGTGAGAACCTCCCTTCGTCGGGAGTCTGGAAAGAAAGGAAGGGAACGTCACCATCAGACCGGGCCCAGATCCGCCGATACTGACTAACGGGTTAACAAGGAGGTCTCATCGGGCCATTACAGGAAACTGCACAGGCCTTCCTTTCTTCTTCCAGCTGAATACTCCGGCCCCATTGTGCAGGAGCTGAATGCTTCTGTCTCCTGGCCAATGTGAGCAGATTCTTCCTGCAGCAATTCCAGCGGCTAGTGTTTCGCCTCACACACCTGTACTATTGAAAGGTCAAAGGAGTGTAATCATCAGCTAATCCTCCTGCACTGGGAGCCTAATGATAGATAATTAGTTATGTAGCATTTTCTTTACAAAGAGGGCTTTTTCCCCCATCGTAATAACATTTTCTCAGGCCAAAGCTGTCAGGGAGTGCAGGGCTGAACAAACACACATGAATGCAATGGAGCAGCATGCTGACCGAGCTCAGCCTGTGAAAACCCAAAAGACACAGCAGGTCTGATGCCGACGCTTGTTAGCACGGTTCCTGTATCCCTGCCAAGGCGCGTTGCCCAGGGATATTGTTTATAAAATATTAAACGAAACTTAAATGTTTAGAGAGGCTGTCTGCCCTCTCAGTGGTAACAAGGCCAATTGTCCGTGACTTCAAATAACAGTTTCAAAGTGTGTGGAAGTGCTTACAGAAATGGGAATTTCAGTACTGTTACACAGGCATTGTCTTTAGAATACTGTGGCAGTATTTATTTCACAGGGCCTGAAGTTTACATACGGCTTACACAAAATGTCAGGTCAGCTGAAGGAAACACTCAGAACACAAAGGTCACGTAATAACTTGTCTTTGCAGTGATATATGTGTTGACAAAGACCTGTGTTCAACATGGAACAAGCAGATACATTGTTGCAGGCAGCAGGAAGAAGCCAAATGGATTGGCTCTATGACCAGTCACGGGCCCACACAACTCTTTCTGCCTTACAAATTCACACTCAAAGAGCTTTCCTGGCATGACAGATGAATGGCACTGTTTCCGAAGTGTTTCCAAAGCAATAACAATTAGCAAAACATTTAGAAACAATTACAATAATAACCTATTATTATTCCGGAACTGGGATTCCAGTTCTATTTTGATCCCTGTTCTCTCTTCACTCTTAATTGATCATAATCCAGTTCTCATCAGAGCAGTAAAATACACCAGGAGATTCATCAGTGCCCCTATCTATCATTATGTTCGTGTTTCTCTCACTATGGTTCATGTAAAGGTCCATACAAACTGCATTTGCGTCCTTTTAATATTAACAGGAAATGATGCGTTTGGACACACAGGTCACAGGCACTGCACTCAAGAACATCCGAGAGGTTACAGCTTAGAGGAGCCCGTTCGGTCGGTTTCTTGTCAGTAAGAGAGGCCAGGGTCAGCTGTTTCCTGAAGGAAGCCAGTATTATATCTGTACATCATTGTGCCGGAACTATTTTCTGGTTGCACACCTGGGTGTTGTTCATGACTTGCTGTATTGCATGCATCAGTGTGGATGTCAGGGGTGATGTGAGAAATTTTCTCTGTTAAACGGACTAAACAGAGTTTCCATGTAGGCCTTTCCTTTGAGATCAGACCACAATGCAGCTGACAGTGACAGTGACAGAACACCTAACAATGTAGCTGTGATGTGGAAGAAGATGACCAAAATTGTACACAATATTCCACATTAGATATTACCAGAGCATTGGGTGGTTATAACCTAACATCTCTTGATGGAAATTCTACACTTTCTACTACAGGTCTTGACATTTTAGCATTTTATTGCTTCTTCACATGTTCTAGAAGATGAAAATGATGTCTCAGCATGACCTACATAAAGAGCTTCAGAGATAGCCCCTTCTACCTCAGTGTTTTATGTCTCGCATCTTGTGTTTCCTGCTACCTGCATGCTCTGCAGTTGTCTAAATTTAACACCATTTGCCTGGTGTTTGCCCAGGCTTGTATTTTGTTTGTCTTATTGAATTTCCCCTACAGCTTCTACTGTGTTTGCCAATCCTTATTTTCATATCATCTGTAAATTTGACTTGTCTGCTACCTATTACAGAATCTAACTTGTTTATATAAATTAAGAATACCAGTGGGCCTAGTACAAATCTATGTGGTACTCCACTAATTACATCACTTCAATTAGAGCAATTATTCAATCAGTGGGTTTCAGCCCTGTCTTGAGCCACTTTTGGACGTTTTGTTAACAGTCAGTAAACAACATTTCCAAGCACAATTAGCAAAATATCATCAGGTCCTGAGATTTGTTTATCTTAAACTCTTATAATCCCTGTAACATTACTGTCTCTGTATGCTAATACTATTTAATATGAGGCATATGAAAGTTTGCTTAGACTGAAGCATTTTGTCTTTCACTTCCTCAGTAAACACCTCAATGAAATATTCATTTAATATTCTAACCATTTCCCTTTCATTGTCCAAACATTTCCCGTTGTTATCTCTGAGATGATACAGTGATAGATGCATCTGGATCATTCTTACAGTATATCTGTCTGTCATCAGAAAGATCCCTTCCAATTTCCGCTGAGACCTGCAAGACAAACTCTTATAATGAACAGCCAAAAAAGCCTCCCTTATACCTATTTCTTATACTACAAACCTTATGAGAAGTCCACTATAGCTACAAAGATGCAATCATCGCTGCTTCCTCTGACTGATGGTTTGCTAATCTGAGGTCGCGAAACCCACAATAAAACATTTCTGTGCAGGTTCAAACACTGGGCCCAAGTCGGAAAATATCAGCTACCAATTTATTGCAGAAGCTGATGAGTCAAAACCAGGTCAGGATCTATGAAAATTTCTTATGCTAGCCGGCTGCGGTAAAATACATCTGTGCCAGCTTTAACTGCAAAAAACAGACTGGACGCCTTGAGACTTGGCACAATTTGATTTGAATTCGGCTTTCCCAGACATCTCTTCCCTGCGTCAGGCAGACCTCACAGGCAGTGAGTGACTTGTGAAAGGGCATGTTTCTCTGCCTGGCCTGGCAGACTATGGTGGCAAATGTCTGTGAACTTTTAACAGGCAGTGACAGTCCTGGTAAGCAAATTATATCAGAGAATGGACCTTTTTTTCATCCTCTTTCATCATTTTGGTCACCACATTATGGAAAAGATATTGCTGCAGACCAGAGGAGAGCAATCAGATACGATTCAGAGAATATCCTGAAAGAACAGGATATTTTTCAGTCTTGAACAAAGGAATACAAGGCAACCTCATACAAGTATTCAAAGAGCTCAAAGGCCACGACAAAGTCAACCCAGTGGATATCTTCTGAATTAACAATCAAACATGAGCCAGCAGGCAGAAGTGGAAAGTATTAGGAAAGGATGATAAAACTGGCAACAGGAGGCATGTCTTTACACAAAGGGTTGTGGGAGAATGGAACAAGCTGCCCAGCCATGTTGTTGAAGTGGATACCCAGACTTCTTTCAAGAAATGGCTGGATGACATCCTTGGGTCGACTAGTTGCCGCCTGCCAAAAGGTCTAATAGGTGCCTCCAGGAGGTATCTGTTCTTATGCTCCTGGTTTGGGCTACGAGACCTTTGAGTTAAATCTCTCCTTTGTCCTTGTTCCATTTCAGCGCTAAAACGCTTC